AAGGAAGGAAGGAAGGAAGGAAGGAAGGAAGGAAGGAAGGAAGGAAGGAAGGAAGGAAGGAAGGAAGGAAGGAGGGAGGGAGGGAGGGAGGGAGGGCAGTTCTGCAAGTCCTTGTTGGTTCCCCACCTTGACGCATACACATATATCTATATCTATAATCCAACCATTTCTTTCATTTACATTCCCTCTGTATTGTGCATATCTAGTATACTTTTATGCCCTCATACATACACACCTGTCTTCTTCTTCTTCGACAACTGCTCCTTTTTACCACTGCTGTCAATCTTTTTAGAAGCAACACCTGGTCCTTTGCCTTTCTTTGCTTCTAAGGTCGAAGGGGGCGGCACAGCACTGTACTGGCCTGCAAACAAGACAGATGAAGACAGGGGTGCCAACAACCACAACGGCACAAGAATTAGTTGAGTCACTTCACAAACTTACAGATCTCATGTGTTCTTCGGGTGCTCATTTCCGACACTTTTCCGCTCTTACAAAGAAAGGTGTGGAGCACTTGAGTTTTCAAAAATTAATATTGTACTTTACATACAGCACAGATTTCGGAGGAGGTGCTACGGTACAGACTTAACAAGAAAGTTCAACACCAAGAAATACTTGCATTCTGTGCTCAGAATTATGCAAATCAGCACAGACAGCCTATTATGTTCCCAACTTGCATGTTTTATTCTGAACTTCCTCGTACAGATTTTTGAAGAACGGCTTTTGCACAGAGCACGGTGACGGCGGGAAGAGGATTTACTGTTTATTTATTTGTTGGATTCATACCTCGCCCTCCCCACTGAGGCAGGCTCAGGGCGGCTTCCATAAAATTTTTGAAACAATTTAAAACCATATAAACATTTAAAGTGCTATACATACATTTTTCATATACGAACTATGGATAACTGATAAGTTTAAGAGAAGTTAACTACAGAGCATCAAGGAAAGGTATGCAACTTTGCTTGCACCTTTTAAAGAAGGAACCCTATGAGCTTCCCCCCCATGTGCAGGAGGAAGGTGGGCACTTCTGCTGGATCCCCTGTCCTTAGCAAAGGCCCCCTTGGCGCCCTGCATTTTACGGACAAGGGCTCCGCCAAACTAAGCAGTGAATCTGTGGAAGTCCAAACATGTGGTCAGTGGAAGACAAATAGGGGAGAAAGGCCTTGTAACGATTCCTTGTTTTATTCGTGTGTGTGTCTTTAAAAGTTTGGTTGCATGGCTGTGTGATAGTCTAGAGTGGCTGCAACAGACAAGGGGTGTGATTGGTGAGTGACAGAGAGGGGGAGGGGTTTTGGAAGTGATGCTGTGTGGATGAATATGTATGTCTATCAGGAGTGACAGGTTGAGGTTTTGACAGCTGAAGGGTGACTGTTGATGAAGACAGAAAAACAGTTAGAGTTAGTTCTGAAGTTGGAGAGAGAAGCTGTCTTGTGGATGATATAGGAATTAGTTCTGTGTATGAAGAAGAGTTGAATGTATATGAAAGAAGAAAGTAAAGTTAAAGAGAAAAATTAAAAGTCTGAGTGACAGGATAAAAAGAAACAGTAAACATATATGGCTTAAGGAAAAAAGTGTTACAGAGTTACATGCCAAAATCCCTGACAGTGTGAGAGAAAAGTGTGTGAAAAACCAATTGGAATTGTTCAGTATTTACCCATTCCTAGATACAGAGTACTATCCTGTTATTTATTAATTATATCAAAAAATCTACTTTTATTAAGATACCAGCTCTGAAAGAAATACTTCCCAGGACCACATTAGTACCTCGAAAGCTCTTAACCCAACCTACCTACCCAGTGATAGAAATAATAGTATAAAGGTTTGGAAAGCCTAAATTTCCTGGTGGCAGCCGGATATACACAGTAAAACAAAACATAAAGAACACTTTTAAAGAGAAACCAGACCTCCCCAGTTAAGGGGTCGTCACAGGCCTCCATGAGCCCACCTTCTGGAGTAGGTGACCCTCTTGCTACTCTGGTAGAGGAACTGACGGTTTCAACGGACAACGCCAGCCCAGCGAGATACGGGGAGACGGGGCACGAGAGAAGACTGAAAACAGCTGCTTTATTCCAGCCTTGTCCTCGTGACGCTTCCCATATTTTAGCACTCCCATTGGCAGAGGTGCTCAGGCATCCAGGAAGGTGAAACCTCATGCATGGCACCGGGCTGCGAGCGGCCCTTTTTTGAACCATCTCCACCACCTCTACGGTAATCTTACCTTTTCCTTGTAAATCTGTAAAAAGACACTGCCAGACCTTATAGCTCAATTCACTGCTGGGCCACTGCTCAAAAAACAGGACGCGTGTGCTCACCCCTTAAGCTCAGTCATGAGATTCTTCCTGAGCTCCTCCGTGGATATCTTTTTGCCCAAAGCCTGGGCGCACAGCCTACTACAGCAACTTTAGAATATGACAGAACTAAACCATCCCCATGGTTTCCTGAAGAGCCCACTGTAGTCACAAGAGCTGGCTTTTTACCTGCAGACAGGAACAGAGCTCTAGAGCACCACGTACTGGTCTGGAAACCAACCTGACCCCGACCTAAAACCTCCTCCCGTCACTCACCAGGCTTGAGCTTTGAGGCTGGTTTTTCATCTCCTGAACTGTCAGAAGAATCCTCGCTGCTGCTGCTGCTGCTCTGCCGGCTCACAGCTTTGCCTTTGCCCGGGGGCAGCTGGGCAGCTTCAGGTTTGGACGGTGGTGCTCTCTTCAGGGCAGTCTAATAGTGTGGGGGGGGAGGGGTTCAATTAAAGGGGGACATTTTAAAAGTCTGATTACCATCCACATCCACTCTGCTCCATTACTAAGCGACACACCAGAGACACAGGGGGGTTATTTGAGGAATACCATTTATTCTGGCAGAGTAGCCATATCAGCCAGCCACAGGAAAACAAAACAAAGTAATGCCCCTCTTCTGAAGTGCCCTTGTAGTACCTTCTGCAGCATTCTAGAAAGTTCAAAGTGCTTCATCTATCTAGACTCGCAACTAAACTCGTCTCTCCTTCCTTAGTGGCCTTTTTCGGTGAAGTACGAGATCCAGTCGCTCCGATCCCCACAGGACAGACACTGCCACCGCTAACCACTCCGGGCTCCAATCCCATCAGGGTATGCATGCGCAGGACTGGGCCGCTGCTGCCCCTTCCTGAGCCTTCTCCACACCCCCATGCGTGGCTCTTATGCTGCCTGTCTGCACGGATTCATGCCCCGCAACCCTCGAGTCGCGGCAAGAATGGCGTACCAGGAATGCAATAATAGAAGTAAAATTAAAATATCAATCAAATTAGATCTGATCAATAGAATTCTTAATTGTGATCTTCCTAAAACCCCGGAATCTATTCTTTTAAATTTTTGGCCTTCTTTACGGCTAACTAAATTAAAAATGGAGTTAGCTGCACTTTTATTAAGCGCTGCAAAAACTTTGATTGCACAAACCTGGAAACTTAATAAAGCTCCTACGATCCGCCAATGGTTTATTAAGGTATGGGATATAACAGTTATGGAGAAATTAGCATCGCAAATTTGGATGGCTGAAGTATTATCAAAAAAGAACATATTTTTGGAAAAATGGTTTCCCTTTTTTGATTTTGTTAATAATTCAGAAAACAAGGGTTGTGGCCTCCCTGAAAAATATATTGATATAATTTCGTATTAAACAAATTGTTGTTATTGCTAGTTATTATCATTGTTAATTTTGAGTGATTTCTATATTCTTACAATAATTCAATTGTATATCAAAACTTTATTTTGAAAAAATCTCGTTAAGATTGTTGTGTTTTATTGTTGTATATGTTGAAAAATGTAATAAAATTAAAAAATATATATCATTTAAATTAACCGAGTGCACATGGAAGTGGATGTCATCATCAACTCCAACACGTCCCAACAAGTCACTTTCCAAATTTCATTTTTGCGTCGAAGACAGTCGCCCAAGTTTTGGCCCTGCTAGAGGTGGGTGGAGGGGAAAGGCGACAATATATACACTTTGTGCCTTCTTGGCATGACTGACCACAGCATCTCTCAAGGCACGTCCGTCTCACAATTCTTAAGCCCCTTCCACCAATCACACGACTTACCCTGTCCTTTTTTATATGTGAGGATAACTGTATCCTGTGGATTCTATAACATTTCAACAAAGGCTTTAAATAGTCCACTTCAGCAACAGACCCGGTCATTCACTCATCCTGGCTTTTAGGCTACAAGCGTTAATGGAGATAATCCACCTATTTCACTCATTTGTCCACAGACACCTCCTGTCTGCTTACTGCAGAATCCAGTTTAAAAGCTGCTCTATGACTCTATGAACTTGAACCGCCCTCTCCCTGTTCTGTACAAGCCCCCTGTCCTCCAGAAACAGCCCTCGTTGCCTTCCAGAAGCTTTACACACACACACCCAACACCATTACCTCAGACATCGATAAGATTCACCACAGCCCTGCCCCTATCCCACCAGCCCGGAGGGTGGAACAAGCAGGGCTCCTCCTGGTTATGCCGTCCTGGGCTTTGGCTCCCTACCTAGCCAATAAAGGGAGCCAGCATGGTGGTGTGGTTTGAAGCGTCAGACCCTAGGATCTGGGGAAACCAGGTTCACATCCCCACTCCTGCCACGGAAGCGGGCTGGGTGACCCTGGGCCAGTCATGGACACACCTGCGCAGCCTAACCCACCTCACAGGGTTGTTGTGAGGATGAAATGGAGGGGAGGAGAAAGCTTAAGCTCCTCAGAGCATCAGCGGGTTAAAAGATTACTAAATATACTCAGCTTTTTCTCCAGCCTAAACGAAAGACGGCTATCCTAGACTGCACCAGTCTTTCTACAAATTCCTCAATGGGATGCTCTTGTCCCCTACACAGAGATGGGCAAGTCCAGCAAATACAGAGGTTTTGGATGGTCAAGAAGCCATTTCAGAACTTCCCCAAGGCTTCCGAAGCCACTTGGCAACCATGGGACCCAAAAACAGATCCCTTTAGGGCTGCAGCAGGTTTAAAATTAACACATAATGAGCAGGACAACATGAGCCACAAAATCAGTACTGGGACTCTAGGTGCCATTTAATTTGCTCAGACAACGAAGGAACGAAACAATCAGTGTGATGGTCCAGCACTGCCAAGGACTGTTTTAACAAAAAGTCACAGAGAAGAAGGATATAAATTTGTCCACAGGCCACGGGGGTTTCAGAAAGATCCTGCATTAGAAGTCTCCCAAGAGTGTCTATTCAAATGCATGACAAAAGTGAAGAGATCAACACAAGCATACTAATTATGAAATCTCCTGATGAGGATGAAGAGCTTAATCGGAGAAAGGGGCTGTGTGGGATCAACAAGCCTGGAAGGAACCCAAGAACGACTAGAAAGGCAAGTAATAATGGTGGGTCCCGCACGAAGACCTCCTGCTTACCTTCGCAGGTGCACCTTTCCCAGTATCAGAATCTTCACTGCTGCTGCTGCTGCTGCTGTCGCCACCCTTTGCTGTGCCGTTAGCAACGCCGGGCTTCCCCTTGGCAACTTTTTCTGTCAATTGTGATAAAGCAAAGAATAATCTGTGTACAGAATCTGACACTTCATAGTATACAAAGGTATCAACTTTGTCCAGAGACCGTTTACTGTACCATGTAGACCTCTGACTGTATTTTCAGACCACATAAACGGGGTCAGCATAACGTACACCCCAGCTCGCGTGCCACTCCAGCAGAGCTTACTTTGGCTAAAATTAATACTGTACGACATTTGATTCAATAGTTGGCCCTAGACTCCTGGAAAAAACACTGCCGCTCATAAGCAAAAGCAAATATTTCTCTGCGTGTCTTACAATCAACTTTATACTTTTCCCTTTAAAAAACTGGGGAAGCTTCACGTGTCTCCCTCCCCAAGCCGCTTGAGCAGGGCCGGCTATCAAATGAAAACCATTTCCAGAACCCCAAGTGCTTTGCACCTTAAGTGGAGAGAAGTGCTTTGGGGGCAGCAACCAAATGTGACCGTCAGCGTCTCCAACCCAGAGGGCCGATCTTCCCCCAGCTAAGCTGCTCAGGGGCTACACTTCTCTGCCTGGAACATTTCCCCTCTGCTGCCTACTCTGCCCTGGGGCAGTCTAGGCCTCCCCCCCCCCCCCCGGGAGCATCTCCTCCTTGAGCCTCAAGAGCAGTGCTGGACATCTGGAAGGGAAGCCTGGAACAGAGCTGTCTTTTGCATCAGGCCAAACGGCACACTACGGCTTCCTTTCCCATTGCTTCCTCAAACCTCAGGACCGAGAAGCTCCTCATTCCAGGGACAAACAAGGCTGAGCGGGCAGCTATGCTGCACTGAGCCAGGGACCGCTCCGGTAGACGCTGTTGGCTCCACCACCAAACATCCAGGAATTTCCCAACCTGGAGCTGGTAACCCTAAGAGGAACTGATCTCTATATTTGGGCAATCCGCTGGGATTCCTGGAGAGCGGGGCCTCACTTGTATATCCATAATCTGGACAGGCGGCTATGAGAAGAAATATTACAGAAACTCTGAACTCAGCATGCAGCTCTCAAGAAAAGGAAAAGTGTGTCATTGATTCTAAAAGGTCTGAGCTCCACGGGGACATAATCTCTGTTCCCAAGGATCACCTGGAATCTACCTGATAACTAAGATTCTGGGACTCTGGGGCAAGGGACGCTCTGTCTTCTTGGTGCTTGGGGGGGGGTCAACAGTGGGAGGGCTCCTGGTGTCCTGGCCCCACTGCTGGACCTCCTGATGGCACTGGTATTTCTGGCCACTGTGTGTGACACAGACTGTTGGACTGGATGGGCCTTTGGCCTGATCCAACACTGGCGTCTCTTATGTTCTTATGTTAAGAGCAGAGGTCCATCAGTGGCTATGAGCCACAAGGTATAGATAGGAGCTCTCAGTCTGGGGCAAGGGATGCTCTGTCTTTCTTGGTGCTTGGGGGGGGGCAACAGTGGGAGGGCTTCTAGTGTCCTGGCCCCACTGCTGGACCTCCCGATGGCACTGGTATTTCTGGCCACTGTGTGACACAGAGTGTTGGACTGGATGGGCCTTTGGCCTGATCCAACACTGGCGTCTCTTATGTTCTTATGTTAAGAGCAGAGGTCCATCAGTGGCTATGAGCCACAAGGTATAGATAGGAGCTCTCAATCTGGGGCAAGGGATGCTCTGTCTTCTTGGTGCTTGGGGGGGGCAACAGTGGGAGGGCTTCTAGTGTCCTGGCCCCACTGCTGGACCTCCTGAGGGCACCTGGTATTTCTGGCCACCGTGTGACAGACATAGAGTGTTGGGCTGGATGGGCCTTTGGCCTGATCCAACACTGGCGTCTCTTATGTTCTTAAGATAAGCAAGAACCATAAGATAAAAAGATGGTTGTTAATCCCTACCCTTCACCTCACTCGGGGTTCCCCAGCATTCTTCTCCACCAAATCTGAGGAAGATGCCCCTTAAAGTTAAACATGCCTACTAAATTTGGAAGTCACACAATAATGCCGGAACACAGGAGTTTCTTTACAGATGGGCCTCAGAGGGCAGCTGTGTGGCTTTGCAATAGGACAGCTACATTCGAGTCTCAGAGACCAGCCAGGGATGCAGGGCAGGAGCTTTAGAGGGCCCAAGCTCCCTGGGTCAGGGCACGAGGAGGGAATGGAGACCCCGGAGTCCTCCTTGTATCCCAGACAGAAAGGGCACACGGTGGTCAGCTCGGTTAAAGCAGAGGGAACAGGGTGGGGGCAGGAAACCTGTAGTGAGATAAGAAGCCTGTACTTCAGGTCATCTGTGGGGGTCCACTGTTAGGGAGGGGCCTGTGAATTAACTCAAGTTCAGCGATCTTGCTTTGTATTTTCCCCTTGAAACTTGTCTGAGAACCTGCATTCTTTACAGCACCCCTCCCATCTTGTGAGCAGGATAAGAAGACTCGGGGATCTCCATTCCTGCCCATGTCTGGCCTAGAGAGCTTTGACGACTCTGGAAAGCCCTCGAAACTCTCGCTGGTCTCCAAGGTGCCAGTTCTACAGACTGGCGCCATAGGCCATGCAGGCAAGTACCTGGTTTTGAAGCTGGCTTTCCTGCCTTTTTGGCAGCTTCTGGCTTTGGTGGTTTCTTCTTCGGCGCGTCATCTTCTGAACTGCTGGAATCCGAACTGGAACTCGACGACTTCTTCTGGGGCTTTGGTTTTGAGGGACCTTTCTTCACCTGGAGATTTGCTCCTTTCTAACGCCACCCGCAAATGACAGAACAAGATTGGGCCACGTAAAGTAAACTGCAGCAAACTGCGGGGCTGCCGAGGCTGAACACTGCGCCTGGCTGCTCAGATGATCTGCGCTAGCAGCCCCCACTCCTTGCCCCCCCTCTTCCCAGGCTCTGTGCTCTTCCGGGGAACCTGGACATGGGAACGGGACCTCTGCGGTGCAGCAGCAGCAGGGAAGCTCTCCACTCCCCCATCCAGTCTTTCCCTGCCTGCCCTTTTGTGACTCACACAGACCTCAGCCTCACAGCTCGTGTATCAATCCCTGGCCATGCCAGTATTCACTGGGAACGGACACCCAGAATTCTCCAGCACTTTACGATTCGGAGACAGGCAGGCAGCTTCCCAGAAACACCTGACATCATGGACATGATCCGTGCCAGTGAGTGGTGATGGAATCCCTTTCCCCTTACAATACTTTCTGCCTTGGAAACAAACCCTCACCAAGCCTCAAGTTGAAGAACCAGAGGTAAGACAGGCTGCTGGACAGCCCACGCAGGCGGACTCAAAGAGGTGCGCCTGCATTTTTCTGAGCTCTCCCCGTGGAGCAGACCTTGGGAGAAGCGAGGGCACTGACCTTGGCTGGCTTCTTCCTTTCTGGCTCAGAGTCTGAGGAGTCGCTGGAGTCCTCACTGCTGCTTTCCGCTTTGACAGGGGCTGCTGCCTTTGCTTTAGGGGCAGAGGCTGGCTTAGTTCCTGGAGCTAGAAAAAAAGAAGGCTGTCAGGATATAGTTCGACTGCCAGAGAGGAAGGAGGAGGGGTGTGAAAACCAAATGCTTTCGCTTTCCTAAATGCTTTGATGTGCTGAACACTGTGTCACAGAGACCCCTTGTTCTGTTTTATTTCTGTGGAGGGGTACGTGCTTAGTGTGTGTGGGGGGGGGGTTAGTTGACGGTTATTTCTGGCGGGCAAATGCCGTGGGGTGATTGGGTCCTGATCTTTAGTGCCTTTGCTTGAACACAGTATATCTGCAATCTTTGCTCCTTCACCTTCAGTCCTAACAAAGCTCGTGTTCAGTATGGTATTCTTTAACAATAAACTAAACTTTCTTCGAAGTGAGTGGTATTGAGAACTGATTTAACCAGGATTCTGACAAAGGTGCTGAGACAAAGACACCAGCAGCCAGTGTCAGATCTGAACAGATTCCAGGGCTCAGCCCAGATTTCAACCAAACAAGGTGGTGAAGTGTCACTGCATTGCGTAGGTAACAAAGGAAGGAAGGAAGGACAGTCACACTAAATCCGCTTGACAAGCTGGTCGAGAGGGGCTCATGGTTCAGTGCTACAGAGCTTTCCCTAAGACTTGGGTGTAGCAGTGGGACTGTCTTCAAGAATGTAAGACATGGCAAGTACTTGCAAGGGAGACCTCGAAGGAATACCTAGGCTGGGACGCAGAGACACGCAATAGTAAGCCACTTCTCTGAAACATCCAAGCCCCGCTAGGGGTCGCCAGAAGTCAACCATGACTTCCAGGCATAGACACATATATACACAGACACACACAAAATATTCAAACCCCCCCCCCCCCAAAGAGTACAGTCAAGGGCCTCCGTGATCAAGGAGGAACTGTCACATCAGTGCCAATAAAAAGGTGGCAAAGCTCACCTGGTTTCTTGACTGGTGGCTCATCTTCACTGGAGCTCTCAGAACTGGATGAAGACTCCCTCTTGACTTTCTTCGCGGGTGGGCCATTGGGAAAAGCTTTCCGTTTTTTGGCTTCGGGAGATCTGAAGAAAAATATTTAGAGGAGTATTCTGCATTATTTGGGTGGGAGGATTGAAAGGGTGACATAAGCCAGCAGCAGATATATGGGCACTTTTTATTCACCACCTGTAGATCCACACAGCACACCTCCCTCCTAGTTACAGTGGAGGAATGGCAGAGACACATCCCACTGGGAAGAGCAGACAGGCCGACAGAGAGATCTAGCTTGGTGGCATCACTGAATGTTAATAGTGGATTACAAGCCTTCCCTTCCCCTTGCTGATTTCCCCACAATAATCGATGGCATTGTATTCATAAGCAACAGTCCTTCTTGTGTCCTTGTTCTCGGAGTCTCCCACAAGCCATGCCCACATCTGGGCATGGCAATCAGGCAGGAAACCAGATGCAAGTAGGCAACAAGCAGCAGGCAAAGACAAGGAAGACCTGAAGGTGAAGGAAGTTCATAGCCAAAACTCGTAGGTTAGATTTTCACAGGGCCGACTTCAAGGAACTCAGAGGCTTGATGGGAGTCATTCCGTTGGGGAGTGTGCTGGAAGGGAAAGGGGCGAGTGAAGGGTGGGCTCTTCTCAAACATGAGCTTTTGCGAGCTCAAGCCCTATCTATTCCAGCAAGACAGAAACATGGTAAGGGCTCCAAGAAACCGATGTGGACTAACTGAGAGCTTCAGAATAAGTGAAGGGAGAAAAAGGAAATTGAGGGAAGGTCAGACCTCTAAAGAGGAGTATGTGAGAGTTACTAGGTACTGCAGATCAGCCATCAGGGAAACCAAAGTTCGGTATGAGTTGGGTCTGGCCAGGGGAGCTCGCTACAATAAGAAAAACTTCTACAGATATGCGAGAAGCAAATGCAAGGTAAAAGAGGCAATTGGACCACTTTTGGGAGTCGAAGGAGAAACTCTGGTGGAGGACAGAGAAAAAGCAGATAGGCTTAATGACTTTTTTGCCACTGTTTTCTCCCAGAAGAACTCAAGCTCATCTAGAGATAGTATAGGACATAACAGGACACCTGAGTGTCCAGTTGACATTGACAGGGAGGTTATGAAGAGGCACCCAGCTGCACTGGATGAATACAAATCCCCTGGGCCAGATGGTGTGCACCCAAGAGTGCTCAAAGAACTGTCTAAGGAACTTGCAGAGCCTCTGTCCATCATCTTCAAGGCCTCCTGGAGGACTGGGGAGGTGCCACAATATTGGAGAAGAACGAATATCCCAATCTTTAAGAAAGGGAAGAAGGATAACCCGGGAAACTACAGGCCAGTCAGCCTGACTTCTGTTGCTGGGAAGATATTAGAGCAGATTTTAAAGGGATCAATCTGTAAGCGCCTGATGGATCACTTAGTGATCCGGGGAAGTCAGCATGGTTTTGTCCCCAACAGATCTTGTCAGATCAACCTGGTTTCCTTCGTTGATCATGTGACGAGCTTACTGGATCGTGGGAACTCTGTTGATGTGATTTACCTGGATTTCAGTAAAGCTTTCGGTAAGGTTCCCCATGACATTCTGATGGGCAAACTGGAAGACCGTGGGCTGGACTATAGGACAGTTTGGTGGATAAGGAACTGGTTAGAGGACCGCACCCCAAGAGTGGTGGTCAGTGGCGTTTCATCAGATTGGAGGGAGGTGTCCAGTGGGGTGCTGCAGGGCTCAGTTTTGGGCCCGGTACTTTTCAATATTTTTATCAATGATCTGGATGAAGGGGTAGAAGGGCTACTCATTATATTTGCTGATGATACTAAGTTGGGGGGAGTAGCAAACCCCCAAGAAGGTAGAGTTAAAATTCAACAAGACTTGAATACCCTGGAGAAGGTGGCAGTTGCGAACAAGATGCAATTCAACAAAGATAAAAGCACAGTATTACATCTGGGTGACAAAAATGTCAAGCACAAATACTGGATGGGGGATACGTTTCTGGGTAGTAGTGTATGCAAAAGAGATCTGGGGGTAAGGGTGGATTGTAAACTAAATATGAGCAGTCAGTGTGATACAGTGGCAAAAAAAATGCAAATTCAGTCTTGGGATGTATTAAAAGGGCCACAGCATCGAAATTGCAGGAGGTCATAGCCCCTCTGTATACTGCCTTGGTCAGGTCGCACCTGGAGTCCTGTGTGCAGTTCTGGAGGCCTCACTTCAGAAAGGATGTGGGCAAAATCGAGAGGGTGCAGAAGAGAGTGACGAGGATGATCAGGGGTCTGGAGACTGAGCCCTACGAGAATGAGGGGGGACATGATTGCTCTCTTTCAATATCTGCAAGGCTGTCATTTGGAGGAGGGCAAGGAGCTGCTCCAGTTGGCAGCAGAGGACAGGACCTGAAACAATGGGTTTAAATTACATGCAGAAAGATATTGGCTGGATATTAGGAAAAAGTTTTTCACAGTCAGAGTGGTTCAAAGGTGGAATCAGCTGCATAGAGAGGTGGATGAGCTCCCCTTCACTGGCAGCTTTCAAGAAGAGGCTGGGCGAATATTTGTCAGAGATGCTTTAGGCTGGTCCTGCATTGGGCAGGGGGTTGGACTAGAGGGTCCAACTCTATAGTTCTATGATTCTATATGAAAGGGCAACAGCCTACTCTACCAAATGCAAGAATCCAATGAAATGACATTGAAACTTTACCATTTTTTCTCTGGGATTGGACGAGGGACAGCATTGACTCGACAAGGAAAGTTGGGCTGGCCAGAAAGATTCCGTCCAAGTATTGTGCCAACGAGGTTCAAGGGAAGAATAACGAAGAAGCAGATGCAACATACGGCCACCTGTAAACTCACAGTCACACAAGAAGAGAGGATATAAAATGCACCCAGAATTAAGCACACAACAGTCAATGGTCTTGCTATTTTTAGGCATAACACGGCCTTAGAGACCGCCAAGATTTCTGAGGTACAAACTTCCAAGAGGGAAGACTCTCTCGTCAAGTCAGCCTTAACTCTCGGAAGCTTATCCTCAGAAAAGGTTCCTGCTCTATAAGGTGCTACTGGACTCAAATCTAGATATTAAAAAAACAAAAGGATTCATCTTCACCATATTTAAAAAATCACATTTCTTTTTTTAAAAAAATATTTCATTTATAGTTTTTTCACCATATATAACCTTGTACATAATTAACGACATTACATATTGTTAGAGTCTTTTAACAAAATTTTTTGGTTTTTTTAATGTATATGTATACTCTTGGCCATCATTTTTGGAATTCATTTTCATCTTTACCATGTAATAACATTGTTAATTTTTCCATTTCTGCAATGTCTAACGATTTATATACTACCTCTTCTATTAAAGGGATTCTATCTGTTTTCCAATATTTTGCCAATATAATTCTGGCTGAGGGTTACCATATAAGTTAGCATAAGTATATCGTTTTTTCCAATACCATTAGGCATAATATTTAAGAAGATCTCAGGTGACAAATTCAAATTGATTTCCAACATATTCATTATCAGTTTTTTAACCTCTTTCCAAAACTTGACTATTTTTTCACATGTCCACCACATATGATAGAATGTCCCCACATTAGATTTACATTTCCAACAATACTTGGATAATCACATTTCAAACTCTATTCCCTAAATGCAACGTAAGTTAACTTGATCCAATTAAAATTATATATATATTTTATATAAATTCCTTTTCATAAACCATGTAGATATACTCATAAAATTAATACTTTATTTTGGAAAATTATGTGGGGTTCCTTAGCGCTTTGGATTTCTTTAAGATGCAGCTCCTTTTTAAAGAAGGAAGATTTGGTTTCCCTGATCTTAGGCAATATCATCAAGCATACCTGCTAGCGTCGACTTCCTACCAGGATTGCTCCTCTCACTATCTAGCTTGAGATCTTGGGAGGTTTCTTCCCTGGAGCCCTTCTTTAAATGGAATGCATCAGGATCTACCTAGGCTGCAGGGGATCGTATTCCTCCTGCTATTTATGCAGCTAGAGAACTATGATGCATAATAATGCCATGACAATATCAATTTGATCCATTTTCACATGCTAAATTAATGGGCCAATTCAGAGCTGAAACTTGGGAAGAAAGGTTCCTTATGGAAGGCTTGGACTGATAGGGACTTTTTACTTTGGACAAAGTGATGGACTATGTCACCCTTTGCTGAATGGCAATATTTACAATTCCAACATCTGTTGGTATCCAAATATGACCCTGCAGCACTAAGTTTTTCAGAATATCCCTTACTCTTGGAAAACTCTCACTGAACCAGTGCAGAAAATGAAACCTACAATGCTTGTGTTTTTCTATCTAGCTACCTATCTATATTTTATTTTTTGCCGTCAAGTAACAGCCGACTTTTGGCAACCCCGTAGAGTATTCAAGGCAGGAGATCCTGGTATTTCTTAGTGGTCTCCTATCCAAATACTAACCAGGACCAACCCTGCTTAGCTTCCAAAATCTGATGAGATCAGGCTAGCCTGGATTATCCAGGTCAGAGCCCTGTTACTCTGGCTTTAGTACAGCCAAAAGACTTGTATTACAACAGTGGAGAGACAAATGCCCACCAACAGTGGAGAGACAAATGCCCACCTTATAACTTTATCAGTATCTGAAGGCATGGCACATAGACAACAATTACACAGGGACGTACATATACAGGGGTTTCTTATATATATACACAGGGTTTTCCCCCTTAAAAAAAGGTACTGGGTTTCAAGTTTCCTCCTCTCTTCTTACTCTTCTTCTTTTCTGTTTTTTGATTTATTTATTTTTTTTAAATAAACAAATTGCTGACAGGAAAATATGCTGGTCTTTGTGATCTAACGGTTAAACCTGACAGGCTGTTAAGATACTCACCATTGTCCCAAAGGGGATTGCTCTGGATGCATGGTAATAGATGGCGATGAAGTTAATGAAGAAGGCTGTGCCACACACCATGGCAGGAATCAGGAAAATGCCCCAATGAACATCTGTTTTATCCACCGCCTCCCTGCAGGCAGAAACATCCCAATGCATTGGAGACTCAGAGCTACATGGCACCTTTCTCATCTCATCCCAACTAAACACCCCCCCCCCCAAAAAAATAAACAGGCTGGGTGCAATTATGAGAAGATACAAGATGAGTCAGATTGAGGTGACCAGAGAGGAGGTCCTACGACTGATAGACAACTTAAAAACTGATAAATCACCAGGCCCGGATGGCATACATCCAAGAGTTTTGAAAGAACTCAAATGTTAACTTGTGGCTCTCCTGACAAAAATTGGTAATCTTTCATTAAAATCTGCCTCCATTCCTGAGGACTGGAAGGTAGCTAATGTCACCCCCATCTTTAAAAAGGGTTCCAGAGGAGATCCGGGAAATTACAGGCCAGTCAGTCTGATGTCGATACCGGGTAAGTTGGTGGAAATTGTTATTAAGGAAAGAATTAGTAGGCACATAGATGAACAAAAACTATTGAGGCAGACTCAGCATGGGTTCTGTAAGGGAAGATCTTCTCTCACAAACCTGTTAATGTTCTTTGAGGGGGTGAACAAACATGTGGACAAGGGGGACCCAATAGATATTGTTTATCTTGACTTCCAGAAAGCTTTTGATAAAGTTCCTCATCAAAGGCTCCTAAGTAAGCTCAAAAATCATGGGATAAAAGGACAAGTCCTTTTATGGATCAAAAACTGGCTAATTAATAGAAAACAGAGAGTGAGTATAAATGGGCAGTTCTCTCAGTGGAGGGGGGTAAGCAGTGGGGTACCGCAGGGATCAGTACTCGGTCCAATGCTTTTTAACTTGTTCCTTAATGATTTGGAGTTGGGAGTAAGAAGTGACGTGGCTAAATTTGCGGATGATACGAAGTTGTTCAGGGTGGTGAAAACCAGTGAGGATTGTGAGGCACTCCAAAATCCTAAATATAAATACACATTGATGGAGTCCGAACTGGCAGAGACTGACCAAGAGAGAGATCTTGGAGTCGTAGTAGATAACTCAATGAAAATGTTGAGACAGTGTGCCACTGCAATAAAAAAGGGCAATGCTATACTGGGGATTATTAGGAAGGGAAGAATGTGGTAGAGGACCAGGACTATGATCAAGAGAAGGTGCTTCTTGACATACAACCTTTATTTACAAGTGTGGAAAACGTTAATAAGCAAATGAGTAGCCAAAAGGAGCCAAAAAGATCTTACTACCTAAAGACAGTTTTGACAAAAAGAGATTCTCAGAAATTTTCTATTAAAAAAACGAGAAAATGGTGAAAAAGAGAACAAGTCAAAAGGAGCCAAAGAGACTTGATCACTTAAAGATACTGACAAAAAGGGACTTTCAAAAACTTTTGACTAAAGAGATAAGAACATTGTCAAAAAAGAGAACAAGAGGAAGGGTGTGGAAATCTAACAGTGACAACAAGAATGTGAAAATCCTGTTGAGATCTGAAAGGGGACACATTAAAACAAAACTCCATACATATAAAGAGAATAGACATTTGGCTATGGTTGTAAAGAAAAGAAAATTACAGATTTCCAGGAAAAAAATAAGACATATGATTGGGGTCATGTAATGCCTTCTTTTCCCAACAAGAATGTGAAAATCCTGTTGAGCTCTGAAAGGGGTCACATTAAAACAAAACTCCATACATATAAAGAGAATAGACATTTGGCTATGGTTGTAAAGAAAAGAAAATTACAGATTTCCAGGAAAAAATTAAGACATATGATTGGGGTCATGTAATGCCTTCCTTTTCTTTCTGATGTATCTTTAAGTGAGAGAATAAGATTCAAGAGTGTTGATATACTAAGGCATTGAAAAATGAACTATCTTATGTTTTTGTTCCTTGCTGTGTATATTTATATGTTTTTTTGTTAGCTACCAAAAATCATGTTGTGTTTCTTTTACTTAGCTTTTGACTCCTATTTTACGTCTGCATGAATATATTATTTAGGCATGTAGTAATAGAGGATTTGTTATTTGATTAAATAATGATTTAAAATGAACCAATAAGAAATTAGAAAAATAGTATTAATATAGCATATAGCTTAGTATAGATAATTAAAATGTAAGCAGTAGGTTGGCCTTTAGGAGGAGGGTGGTGTAACTTGATTATGTGGTCTTTAGGAGAAAAAAAAGGTGTTTGGATAGAAAAATGTAAAAAAATTATAAAGTTTGGGTGATTATATAGAGGTAACTTGGATGCTGAAGTAAACAGTATTATAATGGAACCTTTATTGGCTAAGCAATTTCTAAGATAGGATAGACAAGAAAGTAGGCTCCCTTTGTGATAACATGTTTAATAATAATAATGAACTGGTTTGAAGGCTATGGTATATCTTTCAAAATGGTAAAAATCTTACTTAAAGATAACAATGGTAAATGGGAATTGTTAGATATGGGTTAAGTAATTTCTACAATAGACTGGACAAGTAAGCAGGTTTTCTTGATGTTATCTGAGCCAACAGTAAAGAATATATTTGAAATAATTGCGAATTCCATTTTTGTAAAAATAATATGAACAATTTATAAAGCATATTAGAAATGAAATACACGTATAATCGAAAGTTGCTATAATTGCAATGTTTAGAGAAAGAAAGCATATATTTTTTTCTTCTTTCTTCGGATGTGTTATTGTATAGAATATATGGTTGTTGGTTTATGCACTTTTGTGTTTGGAAAATAATAAAAATAATTTAAAAAAAGAAAGAAAACTGTTCCTCCCCTCTGTTAATGGTCTCACTGAAATGTTTGGCTCCCTCCTGATAATTTTTTAATCCACTGTAATACACCATACGCTTTATTCGAAAAGACTCTGATTCCACTTTTCAGCCTAAAACTCCCAAAGTGGCCAACACTAAGATGCAAAAAACCATTAATAAAAGGACACAATCCATCAAATGTCCAGCAAACTGTAGGACAGAATTACACACAGTAGATAGAGAAGCAAGTGCATAATTAAAAATACCCTTGACATGATAGTTGCCATCCACTTTGGAAAGAAGGGTACATCTGCATATGTGCTTATATCACGAAAAGGAAAACAAACAAACAATAGTTTGGACGCCCATTGGTGGTTGCCATGGCAGCCCCGGAATGCTGTGTGAAAACAAGGCAGCGGAGAGGAATCTTCTGGCTCACCTAGCCCACGCATCTGGGTTTGGCCTGCCTACCCCCCACCAGCTCCCCCCACCCGGCACTTACCAGGGGTGGAGAGGTGAGCAGTTAGGACTGGGGAGGGAAGCCAAAGCAGGGGCGTGGCAGAGGGGTCAGAGCTGGTGTGGTACAGGGGGCGGGGGGGGGGGGGGGGGGGGGGCGGGGGGGGGGGGGGAAGCTGGAGCAGGTGATGGCGGAGCGTGGTGGAGTTGGGGGACAAGGTGCCCCCTTCCCACCATTCCTCAGAGGTCCCTGCTTGTCTATCAACTACTGCCATTTTATGAGAAATACACTTTGCAAATGATGCAACATATAATGCTTTATTGTTACTCTTAGTACTGTCTGTAACAAGTTCCATTCATTTACAAGCCTCTAATGAAAATACCGTTGGCAACATTAAACCGTGACCATAATGTCAATTTGTTCTGGAACATATTTTTCGTGTAACAAATAGGTATTTGCTTTGGCTCAAAGGTATGTTAAACACCCCAGGGAATGTTTACTGGTGCAGATAATCCAAAAAAGTGAACAGCTGCATGGGGAAGCAATACTAAAGTCCTCCCCAAATTTTATTTTAGAAGATGTAGTTACAAGACTTGTAGTCATAATAATATTTTTTTTAAAAAAAATCATCTTACCTCCTTGTCTGGCATAAAGACTTCCCCCAAAGTAGCCATTCACTGGGGATGTTGCAGCATAAACAAAAATGGCGGTACTAAGCATCGATCCCCTCCTAGAATGAAAGACACGCATTTCTGGTTATTTATTTATTTATTATTCACATTTCTATCCCGCCCTCCCCAGAGGCTCAGGGCGGCTTACAGGGCACATTGCCAGATAAAACAGTAAAAACAATACAAAATATTAAATTATAATCCCATTAAAACAGATTTTGATACTTCTCTCAGCTACTTTACAATTTCTAAAAGCAAGATGGCCGCATCCTAACCATCCCGTTCTCACCCATAGTGCAGCGATTAAAGGGCCCAGATGTACTTGCCCCCATCCTGATGTCCGTATATGGGGGTTAGGTGGCAACTAGTGCGATAGTAGTGCACTAGTGGTGCACTAGTGGTGGTTACACAAATGACTGCCTGCCGTTAAGAGCTGACGTAACAAGCACACATTTAAAGGGGGGGGGGGGAACCACAACAGACACCCAGTGAGGCGGGTGGAGCTGAGAGAGCTCTGACAGAAACTGCTCTCTTTCAAGGACAGCTGTGCCAGAGCTTGTGACTGACCCAAGGTCACATCAGCAGATGCAAGTGGAGGAGTGGGGAATCAAACCTGGTTCTCCCAGATTAGAGTCCGCGCAGTCAACCACTACACCAAACTGGCTCTACACTACCGCACACTTAACCACTACACCAATCCTGTGCGTGTGCTAAGAACCACTGCCCACCTCGCATCGATGCCTCAATGAAGGCCATATTTCAAAACTCCGTTTCAAATGCACGTCAGTCGGCTTACTGAATAAAGTTCAAGATCTTTTAAAACAAATGTACAAAAGAAATACTCACTCTGTGTATAAATCCTCTAGCATGGCCACAATGATCACTATGAAAGAAACGGCAAAGATTTGGCATCCAGATCCAATCAGCGAGGAGAATATTAAAGGGTGACTGGAGGGTCTGAAGACGTCTCCGTGGACTTGCTTCCAACCATATTCATCACCCAAATCTCTGTCCTGCACAAAGAACACGGTTTAATATCAGTAGCTGCCAAAGAGAAGGAAACGGATGGATGTCAAGTAGGTTCAAATGCTTCCCCAAGCAGAATACAGGCCTGCATCTAACCACATGACTCCAAAGACTTACATGCAGACTAAACTCTCATTTGTTAGCGTTCAGCCTATCAGTGGGTTCATTTTCCAGCCACAATCTGTTGTTACATTTAGCAGTTCTAACCAAAGAGTGTTAACTTTATTACGTAGTTCTTTCATACAGCTGCTTCCACCTGGCTATTGCTCTGTGCTCCGGGCTCCGGAGTAGCCACACTAGTAGGAATAGCCGCAGCACAGGCCCAAATACAAGAACGTCCTGGGCTGGCTGGAGAGCTTTACACTCATACTTCTGCCCTTCTACTGATTAGAAAACCACTTGGGTTCTGGAGCAATTGCAGCCTGGCCTCCCTAGCAAACACACACACAAACACACACGAGCACATGAAGCTTCGTTATACTGAACCAGATGACTGGTCCATCCAGGTCAGTATTGTCTATTCAGACGGGTGCATTTCCATAATATCATGGGATTTTATAGAGTTTAAGGAAGTCTATAAAATGTTGTCTATTAATATTGCTTATGAGTATGTTTATTAGTTTTTATTCTAAAAATGGTTGGTCTAAATTATCTTGTAACTATATGTAATGTGTTTTATAGTAGCTGTCTGTACCGTTTGGCTTAAGACCTCTGGTCAATGAAGCTAGTAAAGGACAGGAAAGGAGACCGGTGCCAGCTCTGCAGCAGAGGCCTTTCTCATCACCTACTACCTGATTCTTTCCAACTGGAGAGGCCAGGGACTGAACCTGGAACGTTCTGCGTGGCAGGCAAGAGGCTCTACTCCTCTCCCACAGCAGCAAGGAACATCAGCCTGGCCCAAGCCATTGGTCAGAATGTAAAGAGCTAGAGGGAGCTTGCTTCTCCCTCCCTCTCAGCTGCTTTGATCTTCAAAGGTAAGGAGAAAGCACAGGCTGGTCTCCGTCTCCAGCCAGGGAACCACGGTCTTGCTGCAGGACTGCCCCCCTCCTCCCTGGCAAGAATGTGTTTTGAATGACTGCTTGTAACGATTTCATGTTTAACAGGGTGTGTGACTTTAAAAGTTTGGATGCATGGCTGTATGATAGTCTAGAGTAGTGGAAACAAGCAAGTGGTGTGATTGGTGAGTGACAGAGAGGGGGAGGGGTTTTGGAAATGATTCTGTGTAGATGAGCAGATATGTCAGTCAAGAGTGTCAGTTAGAGATGACAGTTGATGAAGTCAGTTAAGCTATGTATGAGAGTTGAAGGAGAGGCTTCCCTGTGTGGGTTGTTAAGTTCTATGTCTTAAGAGTTGAATAAGACAATTGATAAGTTTAGTTCATTCTGAAGTCTGAAGGAGAGACAGTCGTGTGTGTTATGAAAAGTTGAAGTATAAAGAAACAGTAACCATGTATGGCTTAAAGGGAAAAAAGTGTTTCAAAGTTGCATGCCCAGATCCCTGACAGTGGGAGAGAAAAGTGTGTGAAATATCAATAAATCTACTTTTAGTTAAGATACCAGTTCTGAAAGAAATTCTTCCCAGGAAACACATAGCCCCTCGTGAACACCTAAACCCTCGACTTACCTACCCAGTGACAGAAATATTATATTATAGAGGTTTGGAAAGCCTTAAATTTCCTGGTGGCAGCCGGAATACCCAGTAAAATAAAATAAAAGGAACACTTTTAAAGTAAAACCAGACCTCCCCAGTTAAGGGGTCGTCACACTGCTATTTGTTTTTATTGGACATATGGATTTTTAAACCCCTTGCTAAATTAAGTGCACACCTCTGCTTTCTCCTAGGGCTGAAGGCTTCAGAGCACCTTGCTCCGGAACAAGGACCTTTTCTAAAAGCGTGACTGGCCTTGCACGCATTCATGGAGGAGCAGGCTGGGGGTGGCCACACCGCACCGAAAGAAAGCAAAACGCAGGCCATGGCCTCACTAGCCAGACTGAAGCCAGAGAAACACAGACTAAGCAGGAAAGACTCAGGCCCCCAATCAGAATAGTCAGCTTTCTGCATCCGAGTTTCCTCACACAATGCTTGGACACGCAAAAGCAGCAGAAATCTGTGCTGCTAGTTGGGGAGAAAAGACATCTTGACATCTGAAATAAGTTTGTGACGTAGAGATCCAGAAACACTTTACAATTAGCTAACAAGATTCTCCTTACCATATCATCCATTTCTTCCTCTTTGCTGTAGCGAGCGTAATCTTTCCTCAACGTCCTCATTAAAATCATCGACACTAAGCCCACCAGGAAGATAACCATCATGAAGGAATTGAAGATGGAAAACCAGTGAATCTACAATTAAAATGTGGCATTGAACCTGTTAATAAGTTTGCTTTTCACCCAAACAGCAAAAAAGGCAGTCAAATGTAGCAAGCAGAAGGCTAAATATTCCTTGTTAGGCACACAGCCCCCTCTGGGGTTTCTCATGAGGTGAGCGAGACTTCATTGCAATGAATGAATCAACTCCTTTAGAGGCAAATTTTAAAATCCAAAGCAAACAACTCTGAACTGTGTTTTAACATTCACAGCCCTGCTAAGGTAAAACTGCAAAGCCAGAGCATCCTCTTAATGGCATTGATTCTTCCCCCAAAAGGACAATTTATTGCTTTTCCAGATCTCTAAATCAGGCTTAATTTTCGTCAATACATGCTCATAAACCAAATTCACAAGATCCTTATACTCCTTTGATACCATCATTCCTAAATACCTCATTGGTTTGTTATTAATCCTTGTGTTTTTTTGAAAGATGCAATCATTTTAAAAATGCAATACATTCACATAAAGCATAACAGCTTTAGTTTTTTTTAAATTTATTTTATATCTAGAAACTTCACTATAATCATTTAATATCCTAAGTAATTTTGGCTGCAGGTCGCCTTACATTGTTCATGGGCAGAGGCAGCCAGTGAGTGGCCTTCCCTCACCTTGGGTCTGTGTGGATTCACTAGTCCACCTCCTCCTTCAGTTCCCCTCCTGCTCTGGGGATGACAGGGCACCTCTGCGTGCAGGAAAATGGGGTGGGGAGGGGGTGGTAGCGTCAATGACCCTGCTCGTCTTCAGCAGTGGGGTCAGTCACCACCGCTTCTTCCACTGCCAACTGTATGAAGCCTTCTCCTCTCTTGGCTTTCCCCCGTTCTGCAATATTGGTTTTGAGATATGGTGACCAGAACTGTACATCGTATTCCAAATGAGGCCATACTATGGTGCCATACAAGGGCATTATAATATTTGCCATTTTAGTCTTTATCCCTTTCCTATAACCCCACAAAGAATTTGCTTTTTTCAATGATGCTGCACACTCAGTTGACTTTTTCATTAAGCTATCCATAGCAACCCCAAAATTTCTTTCAATCTTGGTCTCAAGCCAGTTCAGAATTCACCAGCATGTATTTAAAATTAGGATATTTTTTTTGTTTAAGTATGCATCACTGTACACTTACCAACTCTGAACTTCATCTGCTGCACTGTTGCTCACTCACCCATTTTGGACAGATCCTTCTGTAGTATACTCTTCTCATTTCACTCTAGTTAAAGCCTGAACATGCGGTATCCAGTGATCAACAATACACTCATCTTCAGATTTTAACCAGCAGTAGAATAAGTCAGATCATTATCAACAGTGATGTATATAAACTTTAAATGCAACTAAATTCAGAAAAGATACCCTGTGTTGAAAGAAAGATGGGTCAAGGTACTTGTCAAATCTATCTTCAAACTTCACATCTGATTTTTTCCATTTCACCTAGAGAGGGGGGAGGGAGAGAGAGAGGGGAAGAGGGGGGGGGG